GTAAGCATTAATGGCCAACCACTAGAAATTGTTGATCACTTTTGTTACCTTGGCTCCATCATATCCAACAACACTCTACTGGATAAAGACATAAACAACAGGATAGCCAAGGCAATGGCCACCATGTCACGGCTGCAGAAAAGAGTCTGGGACAACATATTGCTGACTAGCAGTACTAAAGCCCTAGTCTACCGGACCTGTGTGCTGAGCACCTTGCTGTACGGAAGTGAAACATGGTCAACCTACTCATGGCAGGAAAAAAAGCTGAATGTTTTTCACCTCTGATGCCTAAGGCAGATCTTTAAAATAAGGTGGCAAGATAAGATAACCAATGAGGAAGTGCTACAAAGAGCAGGGTGCCAGGACATCCGCTCTGTTATCAGCAGCAAACGCCTAGGCTGGCTTGGCCACGTTCGTAGAATGCCAGTAGGTCGACTCCCACAGGACATCCTGTACGGCAATAGAAGGCAGGAGAGCCGCTGGTCGCCCACTTTTACGTTATACGGATGTATGCAAATGCGACATGAAGCTCTTCAAAATCGACACTGGCAACTGGGAAGAGGTGGCACTGGACAGACCCTCATGGAGAGAGAGCATAAAGGAAGGGTCAAAGATTGCAGATGTCATACACAACAGTAGCAGAAAGAAGGGTGAAAATGCAATGGTGCCTGGTGATTATATATGCCCAACCTGCGATCGCAGCTGTGTATCAAGGATTGGCCTCTTTAGTCACACAAGAAGTTGCAAAGGGAAAAGATCGTCTCTCGAGACGTAAAATGCCACAGTATGGTATCTCACGTTTTCTTGAAAAAAAAAACAAAACTCAATCATGTTTCCATTGAGTTGACCAAACCTTACAGTTGTCAGTTATTGACTAGAGAAATCTGTGTACTATACTTCAGCTTTAGAGCAGTGAACTTTATAGGTTAATAATCTTTTGATTCCAACCTATGATGTTTTAGGTTATCACATTGATGAGAAAAAAGTTCTGGGTGGAGAAGCAGCTTTTTGGTCAGAATATTTTACCAATGAGAATCTCATCCCCATGATGTGGTAAGTTTGGCTGAGGGATAGTTAACTTAGAATGAGATGATCAATTTTCAGGTACATGTAATAACTTGGAAGGTTAAATCTTTGGTTAAGCTTAAACCAACCTGGAGAAAAAAACAAAGCAATGCCAGGATTGAGTTGGTCCCTTTAAGCCTTTTTTTCTCTGGTGGTAAGGCCACAAAAAGTCTTAAGAAACTCACTGTGCTATAGTACTAACTCCTAATGAGTCATCTTATTACCATGCATGAAAGACTCACTAAAACAACTCTGTGTGTGGTTCTAAGTGTATTCAACCTGGCTTTATCCATAAGATAGTAGAACCCTGAGAAGTGGGTATTACCCTATTTTCAGTCTTACTTAATCTATTGTGTGCTAAGCTGTAGATGCTCATTGGGTAAATGTCTGTCCAATAGAAGTTTTAAGACATTAGGCTGAACAACTGAATTTCTAACTCTTCTTATTCACAACAGACAATAAAGATTTGATTATGTTACTTGTGTTATTCTATGGATAGTCAAGATCTGATTTTCTTGCACTGCAGGCCTAGAGCATCAGCAGCTGCAGAAAGATTATGGAGCAGTAAAGATGTGAGAAATCTAGACAAAGCAGCGGAAAGGTTAACTGAACATCGGTGTCGAATGCTGAAGTAAGTGATGAACAATATCGGCAGACTTTTAGTTGTAGTTATGTTCCCCCTACATTCAACTGATTGTCATATTGCTTCTTTTTTGTTATTCCCTGTTTCTAAATCTAAAATTCTTGAATTGACCAGTGACTTTTGGTTTATTTTCAGGAGAGGAATTAATGCTGGTGAGATTAATGGGCCTGGCTACTGTCTACATGCCCCACCAAGACGTCGTCTGTTTAATGACACTGTTGGTTGTCAGGGTGGTAACTGCAGCCGCACACATAATATTGTACACATTGAGGACATTCAGTTGACTCTGAGTCAAAAAGGAAGTCTAGCAGACTGTGGCAGTGTGAGTCTAGTAGTATTTCTCTTATATAACTGACTGCAGAACTAGTTCTTTGTCAGAGTTCCTGACCTTAACAAAACTTTTTTATTTCGATTTTTATTTCTAGAACAAGTAGTTCAACAATAAGACATTCTTAGTTTTCATATTGGAATTAGGAATGTGTTAGTAGGTAATGGGAAAAGTGTGTTGCTATATATACCAATGTGATAATTACAGTTGAATAAAACCTTTAAAAAATTGACCATCCAAAATTCTTTGGAAATATTGTTTGTGTCCTCAAACTTAAAATGTCATTTCTTTTATATCTTTATCCAGAGCTCAGCATTAAACTCTTGTTAAGCTCCTTTAAACCCAAAACTCTTGTCTACAGAATTGTTAAAGGCCTCAATACATTTTTGGCCTCAAGGGTGCCACTTAGGTGATTTGAAATTTGTGTTATTGCTATAAATATTTGCAGCTTTATGAGAACTAAACTTTTGTTACCTAGAATATCATTTTTTTTTTTTTTTTTTAACTGTGTAGAAGGCTATTCATGATATGATAGAGATCATATACTATGAATTATCTATTGAATGATTATTTTTATTTTTTTTTAACAGTTTTTCAACAAAGGCGGTATTAGTGCTTTTATTGTTTTACTTCTGGTGCTGTTGGCTCTAGCAGCATTCTATGCACTGTCCAAGTCATCCTCCAAGTTGCACAGACTTCGCATCTGTAAGAACCGGTCTATCCTGTTGGTGTTTGTGGTGGTTATACTGGTGTACTTCCTGTGCTACACCACCATCTGGATGCGAGGTTTTGAATTTTCAGGCTCATTCCACAAAACATTGCAGGAAGATAATCTCTCCGAGGCTGGACATGGCCATAACAAACTAACCACCTCCTAGCATGAGTACACTAGGTCCAAGAGATCCAGTTATAAGGAGGACTAAGCAAGTCATTATGGAAAGCAAGAGCTCTTGTAGCTAGTGGGATGACAGAATGAACTATCAAAACATTGAAATCACCCACAGGTTTGACTTGGTCCAGTCTCTCCTCTTTGAGTTGTGTACTAGGATAGATAGTCTGGGTCTTATCTGTACCACTGACCATTGTTTGTAAGGTAGAGACCGGTGATGAATGCTTGATTACCTTTTATTTTTAGGGTAATTTTTAATGTGACTTTTCTTTGTTTAAACATAAATTTATCATAACATGGTATTTCATTCATTTTTTTTAAATGCTTAAAAAGATGTTGACCAGACATCCAGTAATATTTTCAAATTAAAAAGACTGAATAGACAATAGTTGTAGAAATAAGCAGTTTTTCTAATTCAGAAATATTTGTGACATTGATTTGTTACTTATGTTGTTAGATTGACTCAGACTGACTGCTTCAAAAATGACAGCATAAATAACTTTGGATCAGCTCAATTAAAAGAAAAAAAAATGTTCTCACTGACTGAGAAGAAAGGTTACCATGTTTTTGAAAGAATTTTTTTTTTTATTGAGTTGGCTTTAAACTTGTACACTTTTTACAAATCTGGACAATTAAGTACACACCTAGATGAGTGGTACATTATCCAATAATATGGTTCATGTTTTCTTGATATACAACAGAAGCTGGCAGTGTCATATATTCATATACTTTCAAATATTCTTTGGTTCAAATGTTTGTTGACATTATTCCTTTAGTTAGAACATTTCTATTGGTCTCTAGCCAAAGCTTTTTTTCAATAGGTTTTGTTGATGGATGTGCAGCCCTGAATTATGTTGTTGTTGTTTTTTTTTTCATGTTTGTGTTTTTTTTTTAAACATTTGACTTAATTTCCAGTCCTAAACATTGTGATACAGTTGTCTAGAACTATGTTATATGATACAGTGGTCTAGAACTATGTTATATGATACAGTCGTCTAGAACTATGTTATATGATACAGTCGTCTAGAACTATGTTATATAATACAGTCGTCTAGAACTATGTTATATGATACAGTCGTCTAGAACTATGTTATATGATACAGTCGTCTAGAACTATGTTATATGATACAGTCGTCTAGAACTATGTTATATGATACAGTGGTCTAGAACTATGTTATATGATACAGTCGTCTAGAACTATGTTATATGATGCAGTGGTCTAGAACTCTGTTAGATCTCATTGAACATCAGATAGACATTTATAAGAAGAGAAGGACAAGTTATTTTTTTCATTTTTATTTAAAATTTAAAAAAAAAAAAAAAGATTAAAATCCAAAACCTCTAGCGTAGTTTGCCTTCTGTTTGGTCAGTTGTACATCAGACCTGGGCATTACTAACCCCAAAATCATTTTTGTATGTTAAGAGTGCACTCCAAGAAATCATGGCCAAACAGTGAGCTCCAACTGTTAATTATTGGCCTCAATTAACAGACTGAAATTATAGCTAGAAGTGTGTGTAAATTGTGTTTTGTGACAATGTTTCACAACATCGGCAATGCCTGGCTCTTTTTCGAGGATTAGTAAAGAAACAAAAAAAAAATATTTGAATGTATTTTTCTAATAGGGAGAAACTTTGAAAAGCCAAATCAACTGAAGTGGTATATGGCAGAAACAAAATGTTCAAGATATCTCTGTAGTGACAAATTCTATTTATTTCAATGCCTTTGATATTTGGTAGAAGAGGCTGATAACAAGTCAACTTAGTAATGCGATAACCAATTTATTGGAACTCATAAAGAAACAAAAATTACAAAGCAAGACATGCAAACCTATTTGTACCAATAAAACTGCCCATGTTTGATTCTGTTGAATAACCTGCATGTAAACAGTGACCCAGTCTCTCATTGAATTGAACTTTATTGCCTAACCTTAGATTATGTAGCCAGCAATTAGTGAAAGCCTTGTTGTCTGACATAGCTTGAACTAAGTTGTTTTTTTTTTCATCATATGTATGCATGCTTTTTTTCTCATTTACATTTCTTTATAAATTTGTGCATGACTAATAAGAATGTCTCTTCCCCCCCCCCCCTCTTTGTCCACCCCTCTGCATGTGTGTACACGTCTGCATTGCTATTGTAAATACCCTTCTAATACCCGGAAGTGAATTGTGAATTTCCCATGATTGTAACCATTGATTTCTAGACCTGATTGTTTGGCTGAGCTTGCCCCTTCCTCCTAATGCACACCCTTATAGAATTGTTTGTATTACTTAGATTTGACTGAAGAGTTCTGAAGGAAGGGGAATCATTCTCCCTAACCTAGTTTTTTGTTTGAAATGTTGGTTGTTTTATTTTTCATTCAATGCATAATGACTCATTTCTTCTACACTTTGCCATAAGCATCCATTGTTTTAGTTACTATTCTAATATATATTCTTTACATCCATTGAATTATGTACAAATTATTATACCATGTCTCTGGCCTAGTGGAATCCAAAGTTTTTATACAGTTCCTGTTTATGTTTTGTTTTTGGTCCTAAAACAGAACTCTACATTTATTTGTTTTGGTGGAAGTATTACTCTATTGATGATGCATAACATAAACAATTCACTTTTGAACCAACAGCCTGTGATGTAGTCCTTGTGTTCAGCTTGGTCTCAGCCTGTTCTAGACTTGAGCGTCGCTAGTGTACATGATGTAGTGCAGTAGAGAGTGGGTTTGAATCCAACTGGCTGTTTGGATTGGCTTGGAATGAACTCACTTGGCCATGTTTGCTTGATACAGTGGATTCACAGTGTGCCAAAAAGCCTGAGACTAGACCACCTTTGTTCAATTATTTGTGGACATTTTAAAACTGGGATTTGGGCTCTAGTTTTATATTTCTCATTGAACCTCATTCTAATAGTTTCAAGTTGAGATTTTGTCACATTTTAAAAAAATAGACTTATTGTAATTTATATGACAAATAACATTTACGTAGACAATAAAGAACATGTAAAACTTAGGGTGGAGTGTAACTGAGGTGTTGACACCTTGGCCATTTAACCTCTTAATAAAACGTGCAGGTTTTTGCAAGTACAAGCAGCAGTTTTGGCCAGGCCTATGTTATTGTCTTCTCCTGGCTGTGCTTTATAATGCATTCTATAATTCTTTTTGAATCCAGTTTTAGCTCTGCCCACCTAAAAATGTATCAATAAAAATGTGTTTCAAGTTATGATGACTGGTACCTATATCAGTATCATACGCTCCTTGGGTATCTTTGAGGGGCAACTCTTCTTTAGAACTTGACTATACCAGCCGATTTATGATTTTTTTTACTTATTTTTTTTCATTCATTTTTGAACATTGTAAGTAAAATATGTTTGTATTCAATTGTTTCTTTCATTTGTGTTGTTTCCAATAGGTTGACTATTTATTGAATCCACCAACGTAGTGACTCTTCTAATGTCATGAACTTTGCTCAGTCATGGCTTAAAGAAGTCATTTTGAAGTCTGCATTGTTTGACATGGGTGAAAGGCTGCATTTTTTTTCTTGAATTAAAAGGGAAATAATTAGAATTTATTTTGATCATTCTGAGGATGTTCCCTGAATGTCAAGTCTTCAAAAAGAGCTGCTATTCCAACCATATTTATTTGATAGTTAGTAACTTTTATTATCAGCAACAATGACAGCATGCAGGATGTGGGTAAGCTGCAAAAAATGACCAGGACTGACCAGCTTGTCTCTTAAGAGGGAGCATGTAACAGTAAAGAATAGAATTATCTTTTTGGAAAGCTTTGAGGGAGATGGTTCTCAGCTAAAGTGTTTCATTTGACAAACAAAGTGTAGATCTTTAAAAAATCAGAACATAACTTGATAAACTGACAAAACTTGTTCTTCATTTTTACTATGTAACTGTGAGCTTATGACCTCTGAACTTGGAAAGAAGCTGTTCATGGCACAAATTGATAAATGCATTCAAGATGTATTAGTGAATGAGAACACAACTACATTGTCTCTATGTATTGGGGTTTTGCTTATTTTCTTAGGTCTGGCAGATGGATGTGTGCTGAATCATCTTTCATTCACATACTAACCTAATCTCTAGGCCATGGGTGTAGGTCCACACAGTTTATGTGTTCTGCTGCCATTGTTGTGGTCATCTTGGTTTTGTTGTTTCCTTTTGGTGGAGTCAGCAATAAAACAGTGCGCAATACGCTATCACCCTCCCACTCCAACATCTAATTGTTTAATGGTGTCACTAGCTGCTGTACTGTGTTGTCAGTGACACCAACATGCCACCAGCTGCTGTACTGTGTTGTCAGTGACACCAACATGCCACTAGCTGCTGTACTGTGTTGTCAGTGACACCAACATGCCACTAGCTGATGTATTGTGTTGTCAGTGACACCAACATGCCACTAGCTGATGTATTGTGTTGTCAGTGACACCAACATGCCACTAGTGGATGTCATGAAGTAAATATATTTCAATTAAATGGACAATTTTGTTTGTCTTTTGTGTTTATTTATTGTTGTCATTGTAGTTTAATGTTTTTGTGAATAAATCACTTAGTTATAAAATTAGACAAAAGAAAAAAGAATGTTATGGTTTTAAAAAAAGAATTAGATCCACAAAGTATGATTCTATTTAATCTTTTCTCTGAAACAAAAACAAATCACTTTGTCATTACTATGTGACAAGTCACAGTCTGTCATTTTCATGTATACTCACACAACACACTAATAAAGTCAATATATACCTTGTCTTTTCTTCTTCAATTCACACAACACACCAAATAAATTCAATATATGCCTTGTCTTGTCCTGTCATCAATTCTTAACTAGAGCCACCACTTCACCTGTCTCACAATATTTCACAATAAAATGATTGTCCTACTCCTTAGCACCCCCTTCACCTTGTACAGAAACAGTTAATGCCCCTTCCTCTCACTAAGGAAACCAAAAAAACAGGTCCTACTCCTACAGACAATATTTCAGATTGGAACAAAAAAAAATGGTCTTGATTATTTACTGCATTATGTTCCTTTATAATTATGTGGTCAAAGTGTAAAACTTATCTTTTATAGAATGGTGGCTAATGAAACAGTTTTCTGTACACACTTTACACATTTGGATTCTGTAGTGCTAAATAAATATATAAAAGTATATCTACTATATATATACCCCCACGTAAATACCACTCATTGAGTACGAGATCTTTTAAACTAGCATCAAATTTCGAACATCTATATATGGTTCACCAAAAGTCAGCTGTCTACATTTAAACGATTTTTAAAAATATCACTAATTTTGTCTATTTAAAGCAATTTGTTTTTTTTTTTGTTTTTTTTAAATTTTGCCCTAAGTCTACGTATTTTTATTATTCCTTACGTCATTTCCACTTTCTTTTAGACACGGTCTACATAAAAAAGAAACCTAATAGCATTAATAAGATAGGTCTAGAGTCTTTCTTTTTTCGAGAGAGAGATAAAGCAAGGAATGGAACTTTGTAACATTGTCAAAACGACTAAATCCTAATGACATTGAAAAGGTACATCTAGATCTATTGTCATTCAAAAGGAGTCAAATAAACAACTACAATTCAGAATACCAAATGGATCTTTCTTTTTATTTATCTCCTTATTTTTATTCAAAGAGAACGAAATACCAAGATAGAATGTAGAAAGGGGAACGGGACTACTTGTTGTTGGGGGGGGGGGGGGGGGGGGCAAACTATGACAGTATGTCTGTGGGCTGGCCCTGCGTGAATTAATCGGGGTGCACTCTGAAGCGGGTCTTACCAAATCAAGTCAAAAGTCTATGTGTGTGTGTGGGGGGGGGGGGGAATAAAAATAAAATAAATGGGTGTTTCCGAGAGCCGTAAAGTTTCATTGTAACATATACTAATTCACAGGCTAAATAAGTATGTTAGGTTGATGGTTAAAGTGTGGCCCGTTTATTAAAATAAAATAAAAAATTAAGGGGGTGTTCCGGCCATATATATATATATATGTAAAGCCTAATAACAAATCAACTGGTGTGAACTGATAGTCTACTTTACATACTTGAAAATACCGCTCATTGATCACGAGATCTCTTAAACTATCGTACGTATCCAAATCAAAATTCGTGCACTGATTCCTTTTGCCACCTAGGTTCTCACTAAGAACGCTTTTTGACAGATTTGCAACCTGACGACCGCAATTCGCAAAAAAAAACAAAAAAAAAAAACAACAACACCGCTAGCTCTATCAAACCTTTGTATTTTATTTTCGGTATTTTCCCAGAAGGCCGCAGTCTACTTATAGAGACAAAGCATTAAAAGAAATTTATAACGAATTGATTTGACATGAAGCTTCTGCAAGATATGGGGAAAAGAAGTGCCACCATAGTGGAAGGAAGGCTACCTCAATAAACTCCCAAAGAATGGAAATCTTAGTTCCTGCTCTAACTATTGAAGGATAACACAACTGTCCATTCCAAGTGTTTAACCGCATTCTGCTAAACCGAAAGTTGATGTAGATCCACATCTCCGTGACCAAAAGGCCGGCTTTCAAAAGGAGAGATCATGCACAAATCAGAAAGCAGCGACACTTCGGCATAATTTTGGAAGTCCACGGAATGTAACTCTCCTCTCTACTTCAGTTTTATAGACTATGGGAAGGCATTTGACAGCATTGACAGACCCTCCCTCCGGAGACTTTAGAGACACTATGGAGTGCCTGAAAAATTACTAATATCATCAAGAAGTCATATGAGGGGATGACTTGCACAATAGTGCATGGCAGATAACTGACAGACTCATCTGAAGTCCTAACAGGAGTGAGACAAGGCTGTTTACTCTTTCCCTTCTTGTTTCTACTAGCCATAGATTGGGTCTTGAAGACAGCAACAGACCAGAAGCGGAACGGTATACAGTGGACACTGTGGAAAAAGTAGACGGCCTTGACTATGCAGATGACTTGGCTCTTCTTTCTCACACAAAGAAGCAGATGCAGGAAAAGATAAGGGTCGTTGCAGACAATTCAGCTAGAATGGGTCTTACCATAAACAGAGGGAAGAGCAAGGTGTTCAAGATAAAGGCATCCAACAATACACCCATTACATACCAAGGTGAGGCGCTGGAAGAGGTGGAAAGCTTCAGCTATTTCGGCAGTATCCAAGGCCAGCATGGAGGAACAGATGCAGATGTCAGAACCCGCATTGGTAAAGCTAGAGCAGCCTTCCATCAGCTGAAGAACACCTGGGGATTTAATGAAATAAGCACCACCACCAAGAACAGGCTCTTTAACACCATTGTTAAGCCCATACTACTTTATGGAGCAGAGACCTGGAGAACCACCATCACCACCATGAAAAAATCCATATATTCAATACCTGCCTGAGGAAGATTCTTATGATCCACTGGCCAGATAAGATCTCGAATGAGGAACTGTTGCAAAGAACAAAACAAAGAGACGCTGGGGATGGATAGGTCACACCCTTCGCAAGCCTGCATCCAACATAAAAAGGCAAGCCCTAACCTGGAACCCCCAAGTGAAGAGGAAGAGAGGACGGCCCAGGAATGCATGGCGCCGCGATTTGGAAGTTGGAGCCAAGCAGATGGGCAAGACACGTGGGGACAGTTGGAGAGACTCGCCCAGAACCGAAATGCCTGGAGGAAGCTGGTTGGTGGCCTATGCCACAGAAGGGACCACATCAAAGATGATGAAATGAGATTCACATATATGGACCCTACAGTTTACTATCCTTGCTCCTTAATTAGTGAAGACCTCGGTACTGGTCCACCTAGCTCTAACCTGATATTAATTGTAGGAAATAGGAAGTGAATGTCGTTGTGATGGCCACATGACACACTCGTTAACTGTCGTCCATAAAAACAATCTTTGCGAGCTTCAAAGTGAAAGAATCAAAGGAGAATAAAGCCATAAAAAGATATTGTCAGTGGGGGCAAGTCATATATCTCCATGATTGATGTTTCTAATAGTTTGACAAGAAAATGTCTGGAATCTGTCATATACGCCTTACAACAAATAAATCTATTCTGATCAATGGTAGTCATTGTCAACATTGAAGAAGTGAAGACTTTTGTCTGCGCTGGAAGGGTCACGTTGACTTTGTAGCCTGTGTAAAGACATCAGAGAATGAGTTTCAGAACCTAAAAAGGGAGGTTACGCTTAACAAAAAAAAAAAGGGGCATAGACGTTGAAGAAGAGTACATTGACCTCTCCCCCCCCCCCCCAGCTCTACAGCAAACAATGGATTCATCTGTGTCAGTGGTGACAAATATGTAGATCACAGCTCAAAGTGTTGCCCGCATTATTCCCCCCCCCCCCCCAGTCAATGCATTCTTAGACAAGGCTTTCTATCTAGCTTCACACACACACACATGTGTACACAAACACACACTCAACTCAGTATTCAGTACACAGATGTCAGAATGTAACCTTCGTGTACTCTCTGCAGCCTTAAAAAAGACTACTTTGATATAGCGTAATAAAACCGATATTTTGTTCTAGATTATTCCACGGGAAACGATTGGAGCTAAAAATAGGCTACTTGATGGATTTCATTTCTCACAGATCATACCTGAATACTAGATCTAGATCTACTAGATCTACTAGATACTATATTAGCACCTACAATAGATATTAGCACCTACATTAGATATTAGCACCTACATTAAATATTAGCACCTACATTAGATATTAGCTCCTACAATAGATATTAGGATAATAGGGTAAATTTGGAAATAAAAATAGACGCTTCTCTAATGAGATGTCAAATAAAATAAAATTTGCAGTTGGAAATAAACCTACAATAGATATTAGCACCAGCTATAGATATTAGCACCTACATTAGATATTAGCACCAGCAATAGATATTAGCACCAGCAATAGATATTAGCACCAGCAATAGATATTAGCACCAGCAATAGATATTAGCACCAGCAATAGATATTAGCACCTACAATAGATATTAGCACCTACATTAGATATTAGCAAATACAATATATATATTAGCACCTACATTAGATATTAGCACCTACAATAGATATTAGCACCTACAATAGATATTAGCACCAGCAAGAGATATTAGCACCAGCAATAGATATTAGCACCAGCAATAGATATTAGCACCTACAATAGATATTAGCAATTACAATATATATTAGCACCTACATTAGATATTAGCACCTACAATAGATATT